GTAAGAGATGAACTGGGTCAGTGTTCTAGTTATCTATAATAAGTTTTAATAATCGACTTCAAACTTAGTGACTTGAAACAACAACATTTTTTCGTATTTCACACAATGACTGGACACAGTTGGGTAGTTTTCCACTGGTCTTGCTTGGAGTCTCTAACATAGCAGAAATCAGCTGAAGAGGCTCAACTGAATTCACAGCTGACATACTCTCTCTTAAGTAGTCTGAAGGACTTGACTCTTTATGTGGTCTCTCCATGTCATTTCTCCATCAGGGCACCTGAACTAGTTACTTAACAGTTCAGAGCTCCAAAATAAAGCAAACAGAAGTCACCGCTTAATGGCTAGGCCTGGAATTGACATAACATCACTCCCATCTCATTCCATTCATTAATGTGAGGCACAGACTAGCCCAAATAGGGTGATGGAAAATGCCAAGAGTCCTAAGAAAGGATCATCCACCTAGCATCTTATGGAACTTCAGAGGCAGGGCAGCATAGTAGTGATGGCTGTTCCACTTCATAGCTGTGGGACCCTGGCCAAATTTCCAAACCTTTCAGAGTGAGTCACATTTCCTTACATGTAAAACAGGGGAAATAATATTGGCCTCAAGTGGTTGTGATAAATACTTAACAGTTTCAGAGCTCCAAAACAGGGCAAGCAGAAGTCACCTCTTAACAGCTAGGCCTAGAATTGACACAGCATTACTCCTATCTCACTCTATTAGTTAATGTGAAGCACAGACTAGCCCAAATTCAATGAGAAGAAACAACACAAGGCATGATTCGCTGAGGGTCACCTTTGGAGACTAGCTACACAAATAGAGTCTTACCCAAAAAAACCTATGGTATATTAAATCAGCAAAAAGATAAAGAGCATAGAAATAATAAAGATGGCCAGGCTTGGTGGCTCAGCCTCTCATCCCAGCACTTTGGGAGGCTGAGGTGAGTGGACTGCCTGAGTCCAAAGGTTCGAGACCAGCCTGAACAATTTGTCAAGATGTTGTCTCTACAATAAATAAAAAATTAGCCAGGCATGGTAGTGCATGCCCGTAGTTCCAGCTACTTGGAAGGCTGAGGCAGAAGGATCACCAGAACCCAGGAGGGCGACGCTGGGGTGGCTGTGAGAGCGCCACTGCACTCCAGCCTCCAGCCTAAGCGACAGAGTGAGACTCCAACTCAGAAAAAAAGAATAAAATAGGAATGATTTTAACAAAGGGAATGCAAAATTTGTAAGTAGAAAACTACAAAACACTTTTGAAATAAATTTTAAAATACCCTAAATAAATGGAAAGACATCCATATCCATGTATTGGAAGACTTAATATTGTTAAGATGGCAATATATCTTCAAATTGATCTATAGACATTATTAAATCCCTATCAAAATTCTAGCTGGTGTTTTTGCAGAAACTGGCAAAATAGCCATAAAATTCTTATGGAAATGCAAGGGATCCAGAGTAACCAAAACAAACTTGAAATAAAAAGAACAAATTTTACTACGATGCTACAGTAATCATAACAGTGTGATACTGGCATAAGGATAAACATACAATAAATGGAATAGAATTGAGTGTCAAGAAATAAACCCAGACCACCCATGGTCAATTGATTTTAGTCAAAGGTATCAAGTCCAGTCAATGGAGAAACAATAGTCTTTTCAACAAATGATGCTGGGCCAACGAGTTAGCCACATACAAAAGAATGAAACTGGATCCCTACCTCACACCATATGTAGAAATTAACTCAAAACTGGATCAAAAACTTAAATGTTCTAAAAAAAACTTCCATTTAGAAGAAAACATAGGTATATATTTTCATGATCTTAATCTAAGCAATAGTTTATTATGATATTAAAAGCACAAGTAAGCAAAGAAAAATAGATAAAATGGCTTCCCCAAAATTCAAAAGTTTTGTACTTTAGTGCGCACACTCAAGAAAATAAAAAGGGCCAGGCGTGGTGGCTCAAGCCTGTAATCCCAGCACGTTGGGAGGCCGAGGTGAGGAGACTGCCTGAGCCCATGAGTTAAAGAACAGCCTGGACAACTTGGCAAGACTTCTTCTCCACAACAAATCAAGAAATTAGCCAGGCATGGTAGCATGCACCTATATTTCCGGCCACTTGGAAGGCTGAGGTGGAAGGATCACCTGAGTCCAGCAAGTCAACGCTGGGGTGGTCGTGAGCATGCCACTGCACTCCAGCCTGGACAACAGAGTGAGACTTCAACTCAAAAATTAAAAAAAAGAAAAAAGACAATCCAGGAATGAGGAAAAAAATTTGTAAATCATATTTTTGCTAAGGGTTTTGTATCTAGAATATATGAAGCACCCTTAAAACTCAGTAATAAAACAACAAATATTCCAATTACAAAATAGGGAAAGGATACAAATAGACATTTCTCCAAAGAAGATATACAAATGGCCAATAAGGTTATAAAAAGATACTCAACATCATTAATCATCAGGAAAATACAAATCAAAACCTCAGTGAGATACCACTTCACAACACTGGAATGACTCTAATAAAAAAGATGACAATAAGAAGGGCTAGCAAAGATGTGGAGAAATCTGAACCTTCAAACATTGCTGATGGGAATGTAACATGGTATAGCTACTTCAGGAAATAGTTTGACAATTCCTCAAAAAGTTAAATTTAGAGTTAATATATGACTCAGCAATTCTACTCCTAGTTGGGCAATTCTACTCCTAGTTGGATATAGACTTGATTAAATTAAAAACATATGTTTAGGCCATGCGCAATAGCTCATGCCTGAAATCCCAATACTTTGGAAGGTGGAGGTGAGAGGATTGCCTGAGTCTAGGAGTTCAAGACCATCCTGGGCAACTTGACAAGACCTCATCTCTACAATAAATTTTTTTAAAAATCAGCCAGGCATGGCAGTGTGTGCCTATAATTTCAGCTACTTGGAAGGCTGAGGCACAAGAATTATCTGAGCCCAGCAGGTCAAGGCTGTGATAGCTGTGACCATGCCACTGTACTCCATCCAGCCTGGGCAACAGAGTGAGATGAGACTCAGACTCAAAAAAAAAAAAAAAAAAACGTTTGCACAAAAACTTGGACATGGTGAAAGGTAAACTGGTAACAAAATCTGGTATAACCACACAGTGAAATATTATTCAGCTATATAAAATAATGAATTACATACACACACGTAAAACATGAATGAACCTTGAAAACATGTTCAATGGGAGGGGTCAGACACAAAAGACCACAAGTTGTATGTATCTATTTACCCAAAATAATAATCAAACTCATAGAGGTAGAAAGTAAATCAGTGGTTTCCAGGCGACCAAGCACGAATGGGGAGTGACTGCTAATTAATGCTCATAATTTTCAAAATGTAACATCATGTTATTGCCAGATAGCTATCTACATAGCTATCCGGCCATGATTTCCAGCGGATCAGAAGTCAGTTGCCAATTGTGTTTTACCTGAATTTGCATTATCAAGGGGTTTTACTGAATTCTGTTTTCATTCATATTTTATGGATATAAGTTTTTTCCTGTTGAAACTGGTTCTGCTGAGTACTCTTCCATATTAGATGGGTTTCAAAAATCTCCATATAATCCTCATTGGATTTGCTTGCAAACAAAGAGCAACTAGGTTAAAAATTGACGCTAGGAGAAAAATCAGCAGTATTGGTGTATAAACTTCATACTGTTTTGTGTGTCCATTCAAAGGCCTATTTTGCTTATTTCCTGCCCCACAGATGGAGCTGCCTGAAATTGAATCTGAAAACCTGAGGCACCTGAACAAATTCTATGTGCTTTGGAATGTTTTTTAAAAAAAAAAAAAAGGCAGCACAAGCCATGGGAATATTAACATACTCTAGCAATACTCAAGCAACAAAAAAAAAAAAAAAAAAAGGCCACATAGTATATATGGGAAAATATGCACCCCAATGAAGCCACCAACAATTGGGTAAATTATACTGAGAAAAGGGACCTCAAGATAAATTTTTACAAAAATTTACTAACCACAGCAAGATTTGTAAAAGCTTACTGACCAGCTGTAAATCATTGTTGTAAACTAACTTTAGCCCACAGTAAACAGAGATGCAGTTACCCACTGCTGTTAATTCTGCAGTAAAAGGAAAAGCAGTTAACCATTGCTGTTAATGAACCATTGCTGTTAATGAACCCTACCTTAAAAAACAGAACACTGGCTGGGCACGGTGGCACACACCTATATTCCCAGGACTTTGAGAGGCCAAAGCAAGAGGACTGCCTGAGTTCACAGGTTCGAGACCAGCCTGGGCAACTTGGCAAGCATCTCTACAATAAATCAAAACATCAACCGGGCATGGTGGTGCGTGCCTGTAGTTCCAGTTACTTGGAAAGCTGAGACAGAAGGATCACCTGAGCCCAGCAGGTGGAGGTTGCAGTGGCTGTGAGCACACCACTGCACTCTAGCCTGAGTAACAGAGTGAGACTCCAACTCAAAAAATTAAAATAAATTTTAAAATAAACAAAAACAGAACACCACAATCAATCAGCAGTCTTGCAGAACTCATCATAAAAACAACTTTCCTTTGCAAAATTCCCTATGTCACGTAGGCAATTCCCCTGGCACCAAATGAGATCCCATCATAGCCTTATAAAAATTCCTTCTAGCCTCTGTCTCTTGGCAGCCAGCACACAGTCGCTCTCTGTTGTTCTGCTCACTGTGCTCTTCACAGCATGTCTTCCCTTAAACAGATCTGCCTTTCTAAGTTCATAACTGTGTCGGTGAGTACTTCCACCACCCACAACTCAGGCTTCACCGAGTCATTCGCACAGCAGTATGATGAGTTTCTTAGCAATGTTTATGATATTTGGCTCCTTCTTCAGGAGATATTCTTAACTACATTCCTTACAAAATTATTTCATTTGAAATAAAGTATGTCATTTATTCTCAAGTAATTGTCAATGACCTAATAAGGAAGATAATATATATCTTCAAATATTTCTTCAGATATTTTAGCTTTAATATCATAATACTTACTATATTTCATGTTGTTCCAAGCAGATATAAATTTAGTTTTTAGCTTGTCAACTTCATCTGTTCCTGTGGCCTCCATATTCAAATTCTAAAGAAAAAGCCATCACTTGATTGCATTCTTCTGTAAAATTTAATCTTTTGCACTTTAAAAAAAATTAAGGAAAAATAAGTAATCAGTACACGTATGGTTTTCTAGTGCTATACCTGTTAAAGTTACTTTAGTGATTATATACAATTTGAACTAAAAATGAACAAACTGCTGGGCTTGGTGACTCAGTCCATAATCCCAGCACTTTGGGAGGCCGAGGCGAGTGGATTGCCTGAGTCCATGGGTTTGGGACCAGCCCGGGGAACTTGGCGAGACCTCATCTCTACTATAAAATCAAAAATTAGCCGGACATGGTAGCACGCACTTGTAGTTCCAACTACTTGGAAGGAATGCCAGAATCTGGCAGGTTGACACTGGGGTGGCTGTGAGTGTGCCACTGTACTCCAGTCGGGGCGACAGAGTGAGACACCCACTCAAAAAATAATAATAATAATAAACAAACCAATTTCTCATTTTATAGATAGAAAACCCAATTCTCATTTTACAGACATAAATCATATAGAATAGCAAAATCTATAAACATCTTAATTACAAAAAACATTTAATATCAAATATATAACAACAAAATTATCTCACAAAATCAAACAATTATTCACAATTGTTCACAATTTGAATACAATCAATCAATTTAGTAATACAGTTCTGTTTTGATGTTTGTGAGAATATCCAAGATTTGTTTTATTTATAATTAAAGAAGGTAATTTGAAATCTTATGAAAACATGCTATTTCAGAATGGATGCTTCCACTTTTATATTAAGTCACTATTTCATTTATAATTGTCTTGTTTTCTAAATTAAGACACTTCCTATCTTAATACAGCAGCATTTTTTAAAAAATAGAATGGCTTACATTTACAATAAAAAATATTTTCTTACTTTAAAATAAGAATGAATGTAGCTTATAAATGTTTGCTTTATAAGTGGCTTGAAGGAAAATCGAGATGAGTGATAGAATCTGAAAGAGGAACAAAGTATAGCTGAAAATGCTTGCACTTATTTGCACTAATTCACAGACAATTTACTTTTCAAGAAAAGAATGCACATTATTACCCTTTCAGGGTTATAAACATCTACTCAAAGATTCTGATACATTACTTCTGTAACACTAGACATTCCATTTTATAATATGTATTTAAAGCTACTAATTACACATTACAGTTCTGAGGAAGGAGAAAGTGTGGTCTATTGGAAGAATTTTAAAAACCAATGTGACTAGAAACTGAAAGTCCAAAAAGATGTCATGAGATAAAGCTATAAAGTTGAACAGCGGGCAAGCCACACAGAGCCTTGTGGACCAGGTTAAACTGTTGCCCCTTATCCTAAGAGCAAATGGTTTCAAACAAAAATATCATGACCAGAATCTGTACTTTTGTTTTGCTTGTTTTACTCCAATAGCAGCATGGAGAATAGATTGTAAAGGAACAAGAGCTGATAGTAAAAATTGACCACTGCAGAGTATACCTTATCCAAAAGGAAGTTTTGGATTTCAATATTTTTTTTGCAGATTTTAGAATATTTGTATTATATAAACTTACCAGCTGAGCATCCCTAAACTGAAAATCCAAAACCCTAAATACTCCAATGAGTGTTTCCTTTGAGCACTATAATGATACTCAAAAAGTTTCGGATTTTGTAGCATCTCAGATTTTGGAGTTTCAGATTAGGGATGCTCAATCTGTTTTGTACAGGACAGATGACAGTATCTTGGAATGGAGCAGTGAAGGTGGAAAGAAGTGGACATATGAGAAAATGTGGCAAAATGCAGTAAGTCTTGGTGATACAACGAATGTGGAAGGTGAGGAACAGGGCTATGACAAAGGTACACATCGGCTTCTGGCTTGTGAAACTGAACAGATAGTACCAATCACTGAAGCAGGGAATGTGAAAAGAGGGACAGATCAGGGGAAGAAGGCTATGAATTTGATTTAAGATATGCGGTACTTGAGATGTCTCTGAGAGATATAAGAAGAGAATCATTCATTTAGTTAATCATCGAATAAATTATTGCCAGGCACAAACAAGTTCCAGGCACTGCAGGTGAAGCAGAGAACAAAGGCAATGAAATAACCTACTCTCTTGGAGTTTACATTCTAGATATTTTCTAAAGATGTCAGCTAGGCAGCCGAACAGATCTGGAGCTCAAATGAGAGGTCTGGGTTAGATATATTCATTTGAGAATCGTCGATGTACAAATGAGAATTGAACACTGGGCGCAATGGCTCAAGCCTGTAATCCCAGCACGTTGGGAGGCTGAGGTGAGAGGACTGCCTGAGCTCAGGGGTTCGAGACCAGCCCGGGCAACCTCACCTCTACAATAAATCAGAAAATTAGCCAGTCATGGTGGCATGCACCTGTAGTTCTGCCTACTTAGAAGGCTGAGGCAGAAGAATCCCCCAAGCCCAGCAGGTTGAGGCTGTGGTGGCTGGGAGCATATCACTGCCCTCCAGTATGGGTTGGACAGAGTGAGACTCCGACTGAAAAAATAAAAAATAACTAAAAATAAATTTTAAAAATGAGAATTGAAGATACCAATACATTCCTCAAAGACTCTGCCTTGTTTATGTCTGTATTCCCAGCACTTGGTACAGTGCCTAGTACTTAAGGATGATAGTCAAGGCCTTTCATGAAATAACCTCTGCCCACTTAGTCAGCTCCGTCTTGCGACCTCACAAGTTCCGTCTGCTGAAACCATTTTTTATATTAACGTTAAACCTTCCCGAACATGATATGCTATCTGAAACCTCCAAGCCTCTGCATGTGCTGTTCCCTCTACCTCAAGTGCCTTCCTGCTCACCCTCACTGTTAGACTACCTTACTATCATGGAGTCCCTAAGACCCAGCGAAGTTTCACTTCCTCTGGCGAGATTAGTAAAATTTCCCTCGCTACCCTCCCCAAACCTCAAACTAAGACAGGTGACTCCACTTAGCTAACGGAGGTTCCTGCGTCTTCTGCTATCACAGCATTTGTCGCACTGTACTACAATTACTTGTTTCTTTCCTGACTCCTGCAACTAGACAGAAAGTCGAATGTCCTTAAATTGGCACAGTGGCCAAGCCTGTAATCTCGACACTTTGGGAGGCCAAGGTGAGAGGACTGCTTGAGCTCAGGGGTTCGAGAACAGCCGGGCACTTGGCGAGACCTTGTCTCTACAATAAACAAAAAAAATGAGTCGGAGCCAGGCTCGGTGGCTCAGCCTGTAATCCCACGCCTTTGGGAGGCTGAGGTGAGTGGATTGCCTGAGCCCGCGGGTTCGAGACCCACCTGGGCAGCAAGACCTCATCTCTACAATAAATCAAAAATCAGCCGGGCGTGGTAGTGCATGCCTGTAATTCCGGCTACTCGGAAGGCTGAGGCAGAAGGATCGCCGGAGCCCAGCAGGTCGAGGCTGCGGTGGCCAGGAGAGGCCACTGCACTCCAGTCTGGGCGACAGAGTGAGACGCCAACTCAAAAAAATAAATAAAATAAAATAAAAATATATTAATGAATAGCAACAATGAAATGTCAATTCACCTCTGGAACACTGCTTTAAGTCTTTAAGCTCTCCTTACAAACTGAAAGACTCTCAACTCCAGTGAGATGGTGTTGAGAAAACCAAGAAAGGACATACCTCGAGTCCATGCACATCTGGCAGACTCCTACCTGAAGTAGGACTCTAAGTCAAAAAAAAAAAAAAATGAGTCGGGCATGGTGGTGTGTGCCTGTAGTTCTGGCTACTTGGAAGGCTGAGGCGGAAGGCTCGCCTAAGCCCAGTAGGGCAAGGCTACGGTGGCCATGAGTGTGCCAATGCACTGCAGTCTGGGCAACAGAGTGAGACACTGACTCAAAAAAATAAAATAAAATAAAATAAAAAAGTAAGAATTCTGGCTGGTACACAATTGGTTCTCAAAAATATGTATTAAACAAATCAGTAAACTGATAAATTAATGAAATACAGGTATATCACTAGCAGCACTCTCACTAGAATTAGAATTTTTTTTTTACTGACACTGGGATAAAGAAAAGAAAAATTTTCCTCAAGAAAACTACATACATAATTTAGCAAAACCTGGAAAAGCAAGAAGGAAATTGTTTATTAAATATGTAAATTATATATAGTGCATCCACACGACAGATTATACATCCATTAAAAATGTCTCCAAAGAGTTTGTAAAAATGGGAAACACTATGCAGAATCAGAAACTTACGCATCATATGACACAGGCAAGTGCAAAGTGTAATAACATATTATTTTTAGAATTTAAAGTGTTTATTTTTTAAGAAGCTACCAACCTTGAAACTTCTAAATTCTAAATGTTTAAGTAAGAGAATGTACGTACATGCATGTCTTTTCTTCCTAAACCAAAAAGAAAGTAGGCCCCATGGAAGACTTTGATTTAGACAGTTCCCAACACAAGTCACCAAGGGCAGTCTGGACAGGCCTTAGCAAGTGTGTGAAAATCAAGTGCCGAAAAGTAGATAGGGGGAAAATGAAGATGGTGAGCAATTAGACACTTTGAACAGGGAAAGTCTGTATCTTACATAGCAACTCCTAAGTAAAGAAATAAGGAAGATAAGATGCCTCAATGAATACATAAATTAATGAGACAAATAGTCTGACCTCAAGGTACTTAGAATGGAATAAATTGTTGAGTTGTCCTTTTATTATTTTTAGTCAAAACTTTTGCTACTTAGACAATTTACCCAGAATAACTACTACCAAACTCAAATAGTTGAAATGATTTTGTAGCATATCCTTACCTATTCCACGAGAATATTTTTATTATAACTGTTACACAGAGTAGATGAGAAAAATAAAAGCATAAGGTCAAACTAAAGACAAGCTGTTGCTAGTTTGATTAATTCTGCTGTTACTTTTCATATGACTAAAATTGAATTCCATTCTTCCATAAAAATTGAAACCCACTTTATTTCTATGACAAAAATGTGTCTGTTTTTAAAAACTTAACTTTGTAGTAATCAGAGATTATTCTGAAAGGTGATCCTTTGAACCATGTTGGAAAGTATTATCAATTCAGATATTTTATAAAGGAATAACCAAAAATCCCTAATGAGGAAGAGATTTGCCTTACTGCATATTAAACACACTATAAAACTCAGTAATTAAGGTTTAATACTACTTAAATTTATTTTTCTTATTAATATGACATTGAACAAAACATAATAAAGAGCACAGAAATAAACCAAAGCATATTTGAGAATTTAGTACCTAATATGAGAGACATTTTGCATCAGTGAAGAAAGATGGCTAATTTAATAAACAGTGCGAGTTATAAGCTAGCCTGTTTAAAAAATAAAACTGGATGACTACCTCATACATTCTAGATAAATCAAAGATGTATACTCAAATGCAAACACATGGCACATGTGCACATACTCCAAAGAAACACAGATTCAATTTTTAAAAAATCCTGGAGTAGGAAAGGCTTTTCAATGCATGGCATGCAAAAATACAAATCAGAAAGGAAAATGTTATTACAAAAGAATAAAAACTTCATGGAGGAAAAAAAGTATTAATAGCACTGCAATATCACATATATACATACACATACACACACACACATTCACACACAAGGAGAGACCCAAAAATAAATAGAATTATTTTTTGGAATGTGGGCCCCTCGTCGTACAGGCTTCCCCCATAGGTAAGTGTTCTAGGAACCCACTGGCATCAGTGTACCAGCTAGTGTGAGAGGCTACATTTGACTTCAATGGATTTTTTTTGGAAATTATTTTAACGCATTTGTCCACTTCATGATAGGTGATTTAGGAGTGCACCTGCCCACACCATACTGAGTGTTCAGCAATTTTTTTTACCAAAAACAACATGATCCCTGTGCCCACCCCACATTCACCTGATCTCATCCTGAGTGACTATTTTTTGTTTCCCCAGATGAAAAAAGTCCTCAAAAGGAAATGTTTTGCTAATGTGGAAGAGGTGAAACAAAAACAGCAGAAGCACTAAAAGGCATCTAAATTGATGAGTTCGGACACTGTTTTGAATAATGGAAAAAGTGTCTCCATAGGTGTATTGCATCAAACAGAGAGTACTTTGAAGGAGACTGAAGTTTAAACATATAAGAATACATAATTTTTTATAAATAAATTCTGGGGTTTTTTGGGGTCCCCCCCCATACATATTATATAATATAGACCTATATTTCTCACCATAAAAAGGTATCCAGCCGGGCTCGGTGGCTCAGCCTGTAATCCCGCGCCTTTGGGAGGCTGAGGTGAATGGATTGCCTGAGCCCGCGGGTTCGAGACCCGCCTGGGCAGCGAGACCTCATCTCTACAATAAGTCAAAAAAATCAGCCGGGCATGGTAGCGCATGCCTGCAATTCCGGCTACTTGAAAGGCTGAGGCAGAAGGATCACTGGAGCCCAGCAGGTCGAGGCTGCGGTGGCCGGGAGCGGCCACTGCACTCCAGTCAGTGACAGAGTGAGACTCCAACTATAAAAAAAAAAAAAAAAAGGTATCCAAAGGCCAGGCATGGTGGGTCATGCCTATAATCCCAGCACTCTGGGAGGCCAAAGTGAGAAGACTGCCAGAGCCCATGGGTTCAAGACCAGCCTGGCCAACCTGGTGAGACCTCATCTCTACAATAAATCAAAAAATTAGCCAGGTGCTGTGGCATGTGCCTGTAGTTCCAGCTACTTGGAAGGCTGAGGTGGAAGGATCACCTGAACCCAGCAGGTTGAGGCTGCAGTGGCCATGAGCGTGCCACTACACTCCAGCCTGGACAACAGAGTGAGATTCCAACTCAAAAAAAAAAAAAAAAAAGATATCTAAGACATAGAGTAAGGAAAAAAGGGGAACAGTGTCAATATGCTTCATGCATGTACATGTATAAATATTATATAGGTATATACATATGCCTACCCACATACATACAGACAAAACAATGTCCAGAAGTTCATAATGTTAAAAGTAAAAATCTCTAAGAAATAAACTCTATTTTGACTTTCTCCTTTGTACTTTTTATTATTTAAATTGTTCACATTGTACCTCTTTTAAAATAATAACAAAATTATTCAAAAGTAGATTGCTCAAGTAAAAAAATCTAGTACAAAAAATTACAAATGTAAACAGGTTTATTAAATTCCAACAATACAACCGAAACTGACTAAGAAATCTCTAGAGAAGGCATTCTATTACAAAATTCCTAAACAGCTGATAGACAAAATTAAAATGCTGAGACATTTACTTTCCCATTTTAAGATAAGGAACCCTATTCTGGTGGCTCTTTAAGATATCGGAATCAGTCATTTAGTCATTTGAAAACTTAACTGTTCCAGTTGAGTTCCCCAGGGCAGCTTTGGCTCAATAAAATGACTTGCAGGATATCCTTTGTTAAATCACAATTTCTGTTTCCCCTTAAAATAAGTGTGGTAAGATTTTGAAAGAGAAAAAAGTGAATAAATTAATACTTTAGAACATTCAGTCTATTAAAATATTTTCTTTATATTTGTATGAGATGTGCCAAGAAAAAGCAGGACAAACTGTACTTTTAGTTTAACTGCAAATAAGCAAAAATACACAAATGAGGAAACCACAATGAACTTTAAAAGTAATAGCTTCACCACAAAATTCTAAAACTACCCTCACCCACAAACTCCCGTTCTAAAAGTCTCTGTTTTAAAAATAAAAAATTAAAATTCATCTGTCTACAAAGCATAAAGAGAGTAATTATTTAGCAATTATCCAGTACATTTCAATCTCTCTAGTATCTAAAATGCCTGGTTTTACTGCCCCAGTGATCAAACTGATGGGCCAGCATTCTTGTTTATTCTGTGGCAACTGAAAACCACCAAAATAGCATGCTTCACCAATTCCAAATTACTTTTTAGAGCTGTTTATGAATTATTTCTTAAAACTTTTGAGAAACTATTAAATCTTTTTTCAAGTTCTTTACTAATGCATACTATAATACATCTCCATATTTCTGTCCATGGTTAACATTCTGACAAATCTATTTTAATTAGATAACAGCATTAACAAGAAAACTCTATTTTATCCTATCTCAGAAAACAAAGATAATGCTACCAGATGAGGTTTATTCCTAAACTATAATATTTAATGATATGAAAAGCAGTGTGAAAACTAAGCAGAATTCTTTTTGGAGAACAGAGTTACAACATTTAATACGAAAATTATCGATGGAGAACCAGATGTCATTTTTAGAGTCACTTTTTAAACTATAACCATGCATTTAGACAGTAAAAATTATAAAACGATAAATGTAAAGGTTACTCAAATCAATATCCTTTAAGAGCAAGTGAAGGGAATCAGCCTCTCCCACCTGGCAATAGATAGACTACCTTATCCTCTAATGACTTAAAGCCAAGTGAAAGTTCCTGACAGAGCTTTAGGGACTAAGTCTACAGAACACACCTCAGTTATAGTACAACCAGCAAAAACATAGTAGATTCCCAGGATGTGCGTGTGCTCAGGCATCTTCCTTAAATGGTATTCTGCTGCTAGATGAAATACAGACATTGATTTTGATTTTTAGAATGCTTTTCACTATCCCATCAAATAAAAATGAACTGTGAGATCTGCTCTAAGTTTTTCATCTACTGTATATAACCTTTTCTACCTGCTTGCATTTTTAGTAACAGATATCAATCCTTTATCTGATCTTGAGGGTCTAAAACACTGGGCTATCGTCCCTGTTCTTTTATCTCTTCTCTTTGTCCCAGTTTCTGTTTTCTGTTTATAGAAACAACAATTATTGTGTCCATTTTGATTCCTTCTCTCTTCTTACACCTGACAATCTTCTATCTCCTTGCACTGAACTTGTGCTCTAAAAACTGTTCAGTTTGTAAACCCTCCTGAAAAGATGACTAAGGAGCTAGCATACTTATAAAAACAAATAGTGGTAAATAAGAAGAATGTGAGACCAATGGTAATATTTACGTGGAATGTCCCTTGTGAGAGTTAATGGTTAGGCAAGGTAGATGGCAGTAAGAAATAATGACAAAAAGATTCAAAAAAGTAACAGCAACATGACAAAGGCAAGACATGCAGGTTCAGAAACTGACTTTAAAAAGAGTAAAGGACTGATAGGAAAGAACTAATAAGATAGTTTTGTCTCAAGCAAAATTCGTCCATAAACATTCTTAGGATTCCTCAGGATCATACTAAAAATATAGTTAAAAAAACTAACTCAGGCCCATAATCCCAACATTTTGGGAGGTGGAGGTGAGAGGACTGCCTGAGTCCAGGGGTTTAAGACCAGCCTGGGCAACTTGACAAGACCTCATCTCTTCAATAAATAGAAAAAAAAAATTAGCCGGGCATAGTGGTGTGTGCCTGTAGTTCCAGCTACTTGGAAGGATGAGGCGAAGGATCATCTGAGCACAGAAGGTCAAAGCTGCAGTAGTTGTGACCATGCCATTGCACTCCATCCTGAGCAACAGAGTGAGAAACTGACTCAAAAAAAAAAACAAAACAATGAAATCAATGCATAGTGACTTTATAATGATGACTTAAATAAAATATAATACCAATACATTCTTCTCTTAAATCTAAAAGGAAGCTGGGCTTGATGGCTCAGCCTGTAATCCCACGCCTTGGGAGGCTGAGGTGAGTGGACTGCCTGAGCCCACGGGTTCGAGACCCACCTGGGCAACTTGGCGAGACCTCATCTCCACAATAAATCAAAAATTAGCCAGGCGTGGTAGCGCGTGCCCGTAGTTCCAGCTACTTGGAAGGCTGAAGCGGAAGGATCACTGGAGCCCAGCAGGTCAAGGCTGTGGTGGCCAGGAGCGGCCACTGCACTCCAGTCTGGGCGACAGAGTGAGACTCCAACTCAAAAAAAAAAATCTAAAAGGAAAAATATATATAGAAGAAACTAAGTCCTGAGCAGACACACATTTACCCTCACACATGCCTGCTGTCAAATTCTTCACACACAACTTGTGGCAAAAACCTCCACTGGTGCAGTACTGCATAGTACACGTCCACAGCCTGCACAAAGTCATCATAGCCAACCTAAATGGGATATAAGGAGCTTAAATGACCTCAATCATTTACTTGAAGAACACAATAGAAATTATTAATGATACGCAGGCTGTCTTAAGCCTGGATCTTATTTCTAAGAACATAATATTCACTATCCAGTTGTTTGGTAAATAAATTTAAATTATGTCAGGTTTTTAGTAACCTCTGATGGGTTCAAGGTAACTCTAAATATTTGGAGCCTATAATACTTTAAAATGCAACTTTCCAGGCTGTTAAATATGCAACCTATATATCAAAAGTAACACAGTGGGTCAAACCATTTAATCAACAAACTATAATTACTCCTACAAGAACTGAAGGACGTAAGAATCTCAAGACTGAAAAGGAACTTGCAAAGCATCTAGTAAGTACTAATACTAACAGTAGTTCTTGACCACTGCTCCACACAATACACTCTGATAATCTCTTCTAATCAGTAGTATTTGGGTAGAGAGGAATAGTGAAAGAAATCATATAAATATAAAAGATTGAAAAAAATATCACTCCCATGCTGAGAAGTGTGATCTGCCCTCTGATTCAGACTTACTGATAACCAACTAGGTTCAACCACCCACTGGGTTCAACCACCCACATGGAAACAAGATCTCCATTACAGCAACATCTTTGTCAACTGCAGTCCCTCAGCCTCTGAGCTCCTCTAGAACAGGGAGTAAAGTACTTAATGAGTATTATATTAAACTCAAAATACAGCCATAAACTTAAATGCCTGGTAGTATTTTAAACTGTTTATTCTCTACTAACATGCTAGAGTTCTAGAGTATCCACAGTAGCCACATGACACCTGCTCATTTTAAACAACTACACTTGCTAGAAAGATATTATTTGAAACCAAATCTCTGTCTCCCTCTTATTTCTATTAACTGGTCCTGGTCTTGGCCCCTGAAACTAATTCTTCCACTTGACAATTCATCTCTTATATAAAGACATACTTCCTAACCTCTCTCCCTCTCTTTCTCCCAGTCTTCTCTTTTCCACATTAAATACCCCAGTTCCTTCAACTTCAGAAGGTTGACTATGAATGGTAATGAGAACCATTAGGTTGCCAGTAAGGGGATTAAAAATGACAAGATATAAGTAACAAGTGGACATGGTAGGACTAGCAACATCAATATATATATGGAGGTGCATATGCCCACAAACAAGAGAAGAAACTAAGAGTGACTCTGACATTTCAGATTTAATGTCTAGAGGATAATGCTTCCGTTAACAGAAGAGGAAACCCAAGTGCAAAAGACTAAGGTGAAGATGGGAAATTCAGTTAGAGACAGTGAGTTTGAGGTTTGCAATAAGTAAACATGGATGTTACAGTCTGGATGTCTGTCCCCTCCAAAACTCAAGTTGAAACTTATCCCCCAAGGTGGCAGTCTTGAGAAATGGAACCCTGAAGAGGTGACTGGGTCATGAGGGTTCTGCCCTAGTGAGTGAACTGATCTACTCACGGATTAATAGATTAATAGGTTAAGTAGCTAACAGATTAATAGGTCATCACAGGAGTGGGACTGGTAGCTTTATAAAAGTAAGCCCCTTCACCATGTGAGGCTCTGCAACACCTTGAAACTCTGCAGAAAGTCTCCTCAGCAAGAAGGCCCGCACCAGAGGTGGGCCCTTGACCATGAACTCCTTAGCCACCATAACTAGAAGAAATAAATTCCTTTTCTTTATAAATTATCCAGTTTCAGATATTCTGTTATAAGCAACAGAAAACAGACTAAGACAATTGACACAATATTTTCCAAGATCCGTTATGTTAGTTGCTCTTGCCAAGAAAAAAGTACATCCATATTATTGAGTCTAATAGCTACATGTCATTAAAACACAAAATGTCACATTTATTTATCGTGTTTGAGTGGTTACTTCTATAAGACACCAAGGAAAATACAGTGAGCCATGAAACCCAGTTCCTACCCTCATTAACCTTGCATTCTAATAAGCAAGATGCTTATAACCATAACACAAGGTTGAATGTAACTGTACCTCATAACAGAGATATGGTGTTATAGTTATTAAGAGAATATTCACACATGAATAATATCACAGAGTAAAACAGTCACAACAGGCATTCTTCAAATATAAAGAACAAGGACTTAAAAATAATATATTTGGCCGGGCTCGGTGGCTCAGCCTGTAATCCCGTGCCTTTGGGAGGCTGAGGTGAGTGGATTGCCTGAGCCCGCGGGTTCAAGACCTGCCTGGGCAGCGAGACCTCATCTCTACAATAAATCAAAAAATCAGCCGGGCGTGGTAGCGCATGCCTGTAATTCCAGGTACTCAGAAGGCTGAGGCAGAAGGATCGCTGGAGCCCAGCAGGTCGAGGCTGCGGTGGCCGGGAGCGGCCACTGCCCTCCAGTCT